GTTTAATCTCCAGAACTGGGGGGGAGGGGAAGAAAAGAAAAAAAAACAAGGAACAAACAAACAAGGTAAAAGTGGAATTATTAAAAAAAAAAAGTAAAGACAAAATCATTTTAAAATTGGGACTTAAAGTGTAGTTTAAAATTAGGCTCACTAGGGCTGGGGATGTGGCTCAAGCAGTAGCACGCTCGCCTGGCATGCATGCGGCCCGGGTTCGATCCTCAGCACCATGTACAAAGATGTTGTGTCTGCCAAAAACTAAAAAATAAATATTAAAAATTTCTCTCTATCTCTCTCACTCTTTCTAAAAAAAAAATTGGGCTCACTCACTTACTGAACAACTATTTTTTGAGGACCTACTATGTCACAGGATGATTTCTGGAACTGGAGGCAGGGTAAAGACAAGGTAGGTATGGACCCCATTTTTGAGGAACTTGCCTTCCAGAATGGGTAAAAATGGACAAGAAAACGAAAAATATTCAAAACAAGATAATTCGAGAGAGTGATTCATGGTGTAAATAGGTTGTACACACTGCTGTGTTGTTTGGGTTTAGATTTTTTTAAAATATCAAATGATTTATTCAATCTTGGATTAAAAGTCTAACTCCCCCATAATGAGCCATTACCTGCCATCCCGAGGAAGAGGGATTTTTTTTCTCTGATTTGGTGTGGCGGCCCCAGGCTTTCAGGTGCAGTCACTCTCTTTGGTGATCCCAATAATCTGAAAGAGAAAGTCCACTCAAGGGAGGTGGGGAATGCAGAGGTGAGGTGCAAGGTGCAAAGTCTAGGCTCTCTGCTGCAGGAGGACATGCGCCTGCATCAGAAAAAAAGGCTCTTGGGAGAGGCAAGGCTTCCTTTGGAGACAGGCCTCCAAGGACAAATCATGCCAAATACCAAAACAACACTTCTTTTTTCTCAGAGGACTTGGAACCAGCCATAGAGAAGAGGACCTGAGAAATGAGTCACAGGCAGGCACATTAATAAGCTGACACACACTGCAGGGCACCTGAATACCCACCTGGTGTTGGGGAAGTCCAGGAGAAGCTTTTCCTATCTGTAAATAAGGAGTTGGTTCAGTTCTTGTTTCTAGATAGAGATCTCAAAAGTTTCTCTAGGGAGGTAGCCTAGGCCAGTGGAGACTTCCATATGAGATGAATTTTATCCAGATTCCAGTTTTTCTATGTCTAACTATATGACCTGCAGCAAGTCCCTGTACCTCTCTGTGCCTCAGCCTTCTCAACTCCAAAGCCATGGAATGGTTCAGGAGATATGTATATATATATACATGCACACACACACATGCACATATATGCATATATGTGTGTGTAAGTGGCTAGCACACGATATGATTCCAGAGGGCCAGGGTGGAATTCAGTAGTAGAGCATGTGCTTAGCATGTACAAAGCTCTGGGTTCAATCCCAAGCACCAAAAAAAGAAAGAAAGAAAGATGTTAGTTCTCCCTAAGAAGAGGCCGCGTCCTCACCCCTGGCTAGCCATCTCCAAAAAACTAGCTTCATGCTGAGAGAGCAAAGGTACTGCCAATAAACCTACTCCCACTGTGGGGGGGGGGCGGCTCAGATAAAATTCAACAACAAAAAACAAACAACCCAATTAAAAATGAGAACAGGAATGGAATAGACCTTTCTCTAAATGAGGTATATAAATGAGGACTAAGCAAATAAAAAGTTGCTTGGTGTCATTGGTCACTGGGAATAACCAATCAAAATTACAATGAGATATCACCTCAGACCCATTAAAATGGCTATCATCAAAAAAAATCAACAATCCACAAGGTTGGTGGGAAGTAGAAGGATTTAGAACCCCTATGGACTGTTGGTGTGGATGTAAAAAGTGCATCTGCTATGGAAAAATGGTACAGAGGTGCCTCAAAAGATT